AGCCTACCTGTATATTAGTTTGCTAGAGCTGCCATAACAAAGTACCACAAATGAGGTGGCTTAAATAACAGAAATGTATGGCCTCAGTTCTGGAGGCTAGAATTTCTAAGTCAAGTTGCTGGTAGGTTTGGTCCCTTCTGAGAGCTGTGAGGCAAAGAGCTACTTACCAGCTTATTCCGTAGATGGTCGTCCTCAAGAGCCACATGGTGTTCTCCCTGTATGTCTGCCTGTGTCTACATTCATCTGTTTTACAAGGACACAGGTCATATTGGATAAAGAACCACCCTTATTGATCTCAGTTTAACTTTATTACCTCTGTGAAGACCCTGTTTCCAAGGAAGCAGAGCTAAGACTTCAATATATGGATTAGGGAGTCACAATTCAACCATAACATCTTGGAAAAACAAAAGTGAAGATCAGAATTAATTTTCAGCAACTTTTGTTTAGACAACCATTTCTGTGAATACAACTTTTTACACATAATAGCCCAGAAATATTTGACTTACAGAGTTCATAAATAAAAGAACAGAAGCAGGTAATAACAGGCTAGTAGGAAACAAGGGTCAGGAAGAAAAGGAGGAGAGAAAAGAAGGGAGAAAAGGGGAAGAAGGAAAATAAAGAAGAGCAGGGACCTGCATCAGACCACTAAGCCTGGGCCAGGTTCAGAGCTTGGTGAGAATGCCAACTCACACTCGACTAAATTTTCACTCACTTTTGATAGTAGGTCACAACTACAACACAAAGGATGTATAGTGTTAACACAAATGTTCACGGCTGAAACCTTCCTTTCAATTCCATACCCAGTGCTGGTAGATTCAGCAGCTCTCTGGCAGTGAGGAGTCTGCAAGTAGAGGAATACAGAGCCATGGCCTTCCTGCACTTAGCAGCATTTCAATGGGGGGAGGTGTTGAAATAGGAGACACAGAAGTGGGACATACGGCAGAATATAAGGGTCCACACTGTAAGGAAATTTTTTTTAAAGAGTAGGAAAAATTTATTGAGAGGAAGACAGCTTCTAAGAGAGACAGAAAGGTGACCGGAAAGTGGGTTGCCTCCTATAAGGAAATTCTTCTCTGGAAGGATCATTAAATTACACATTTGAACTCTTCATATTTTTAATTTTTACTTTCAGTACATTAAATTTACTCATAAAACATTCTAGAAGTGTACAATTCTTCCTTTTTGACAAAATATAATAAAACAGAAAAACCCCAAAACAGAATACTTGACATTTACAACTCAAAATCAAATAAGCAGATTACTTACAAAACTTTTTTTTTTTTTTTTTGGTATTGACCTTGTGCTTACCAAGCAGGGAGCAGCAACACTGAGCTAAATCCCAGCTCCTAAAACTGTGTCTTTTTAAAATATTTATGAAGTTACATGTAATTTTGTAAAATTGACAAAAGAATGGCTCAAAAATGGAAGCGTTTTCTTTCCCTCCTAAAAAAAAAAAATCAACAAAAAAAAAAATCTTCAGTAGAAGCCATGAGGGCTTGCCATGGATACCAAAGCCATCTTTGTGTGCACTTAAGGAAGAACTAACACCTGACAAGGGCTCCTCCGCCCCCTGGAGGCTGGAACAGGTGCTGGGGACACTGCTCCCTCCCCCAGGCAGCAAGGGAGTGTCTTGGATCTTTGACCTCCACCAGCAGTGTGTGGCTTTAAGTGTTTAGCAAGTGTCGTTTAAAGATGCTTGCTGTCAAGCAGGCCATTGGCACTGTTTGACAGTCCAGCCTCTTTTGACCCCATGCCTTTCAGTGTCACCTGACTTGTTCTTCAGAAGTCACCTACACTTTGTTTTGTTTTGGTTTTTTTGGTACTGGGGATCAAACTCAGGACCCTGCACTTTCAAGGCAGGAGGCAGAACCACTGAGCTAAATCCCCAGCTGTCACCTGCACTTCAGAAAGGACAGCCACTCCTGCTTGGTTCCATATGCCCATCCTTGGGGACAAGGTTTAGCAAGGAGAGTTTCCCTTACAATCTTTAAGACTTCTGCAAGGTAATCCCACCAGCATGTAAACTAGCAAGACATCAGGAAGCAGAAAGAGGCAGGAGAGGATGGAACAAGGAGGTAAGGTATGACAGGATCTCCTGGTTTCCTCTGCTGGACAAGTGACCATGCAGTATGACTTCCTGGAAATAGGGCGAGTCTTGCAATTTATGCTGCTTCTGCCCAGACACCATTGACATACTAAACTGTGGTCCCAACTCTCAATTTTACCACAGGCAGGGGACTCTGAGATGGTCACCTGTCTGGTTTCTCCATAATCTGTTATCATTTGTAAGCTCAGATGGATGAGGACCCTGGCATTCAAATGTCCAGCCCTTTTAAGCTATAATTTTCTCACCAGGTCATCACTAAATCTCACTACAGAGGCACGGCACACAGTGCTCAGTAAAAGTTTATTGAATAAATAAACACTATGCTTTCTCTATAACAGCCTTACAGTGAAGCACAGAATTGAAACTAATTCCCTCTGCAGAATCTAAAATGTCACAGTAAAGCCACTGAACACCTCAAGTACTGAACATGATTGTGTCATTCATTCTTAGAACTACATTATTTTTAAAGTGTTATTGTTGAGGCTCTATCACTGTGACAACCCCATCTATGTGATGTTGGGTAAGTCAAAAGTGTGAGGGCCGGGGATTTAGCTCAAAGGTTCCACCACCTGCCTCACAAGCACAAGGACCTGACCAAGTTTGATGATCCCCATACCAAAAAAAAAGAGTGAGCTCCCAAGTCACTTGAGTTTCCTTCCATTTCCTCTGGTGTAAAATGGGGCAAATAGCAAACTCATTAAATTGTTAAGTAAGAAACCATATCCCTGAGGGGAGGAGGGGGAACAGGGAGGGCAGGGACAAGGGGAAAAAATGAGAATCAAGACCTATCATGTAAAGGTACAGGATTCCAATAATGAATGTAACTGTATTGTATACCTAGATTGTACCATAAACTCAATAAAAAGAAAAAAGAAACCATATCCCTAAAGTTACTGGTAAAAAGTACTTACTCATTAGCTAATTAACAAAGCACTTTTTTCATCTGATACTATTTGATGGGAACACGCCTATACTTACCTATACATCAGTGAGATCTGAACAAGGGAAGCAAGTTGCTTAAGATCTCATACCTGAGAAGCTGTAGTAGGGCCAGCTGCTGAATCCAATTCAGGAAACCTCCAAGCCCAGAAGATGAAGTAAAGTAAGTGTAGTAAGTTTGGAAGTCCTAATTATACACCAGAGTCAAATTGCATCCTGACCTGAACCCTCTCCTCCAGCACAGAGGGGTGGGACAGTGGCTCTGGAGCTCCCACTGGGCATCTCTGTGGGAACCAAGAGCATGGGTGTTTGTTTACAAGCTTCACATGCTGGATGATACCTTCTTCTATTGAACAAAACAACTCTATAGATATTTTCAACTCTTTTATTGCCAACATTTATTTCCATGATTTCAGAACGTCTTTTTCAATTTTTCCTGTGGGGTCCCTGCACCTGGAAAACATGGGAGTCTGGACACGGACAGGTGTGAAAACAGAAGCTACGGCATTTTGGCCTCTGCCAGACACAGAGCACTCTTCCTTCAGTTTCAGTGGAATGTGTTCAGGTTAACACTAGGGTCCAGAAGTCTTACTCTTTCCATCTCAAGGTCTTTGGCCCTTTCCCCAACATGGTTTTACTGATTATCTAAAAGTCTTATCCCAACACAATTATGATAACCCTTTTCAGTTATAGTTAATCAGTTAGATCTTCTACTCAGCATATGCTGGCTTACATATCCATGAGACATAGAATCCTGCAGTAAAAAGGGAATGGAAGATTATTTGGGCCAAGGTAACCGTAACTCAGGTAAAGATCTAATTTCTTAGGCTTTTGGAATTACTACAAATAGCTCAGTCTCCTAGGGCTCAGTAAACAGCAGTCTAGGAACACCTATTTAAAAAAAAGGAACCCACAAAACATAGTATATACATATAATGAAATTAGCTTTCAGCCTTGAGAAAAACGGAATTCTGGCATGCTAGAACACAGATGAATCTTGAAGACATTATGCTAATTAGAATAAGGTTACAAAAAGACAAATACTGTGTAATTCTACTTAGATGAGGAACGTAGTCAAAATCATAAAGACAGAAAGGAGGATGGTATGCCAGGGGGTTGGGGGAAGGGAGTTATTCTTTAATGGGCAGACAGTTTGTTTTGCAAAGTGAAGAATTTTGGAGGTGAAGAGTTATGATAGAAGATGTAAAGAAAACCACTTAATACCACCGACTGTCCATTTAAAATGGGTAAGATGGTAAATTGTGTTGTATATTTCACCACAATAAAAATTGGAAAAAAGAAAGCAACAGCTTGAACACTGATTCTCAGCGATGGTATTAGCATGAGCCAAAAGCAGCTACATAATAGATGTTATATATCTTTATAACCAACTCCCAATTTTCCTTCTCTTCCTTCTGCTGCATGAAGCCGCTTCCTGTTCTGCCACTAAAAACTAGCATCTTCTTATAAATCTCTGGCTCAGAAAATTCAGTGGCTTCTGCCTTTCTGTCTACTGAAGACCATGGCTAGACAGATGGGTTCCAGAGAATGTCCCTTACCTCTGAGGTGCTCCCCTCACAAGGCTGCAGCAACCCCCCAGGGAAAAGACATATGGCCACCCACACACATAGCAAGAGAGAAACAGATTTCTCTTTCAAATTAAAAGTATGACTTTTTGATATTATTGGTACCACCACCCTGAATATCAGGGGGGAAATTATATTATACATACTGTCATCTTTAATTGCTCTCAATGAAACTGAGATGAAAATGCATTTCAAAACTGAAGACACCTGTTTCTAGCAATAAACAAAGTACAAGATCTAAGGAAACTAATCATCATTTCCCAGTAAAATGCCATGTTAGAATTTATAAGACTGCATTCACCAATATTTTGATCTAAGCAATATTTTATAAAGATACTTGCAGCATTTGACACTCTGGAAAAACTATACAGTATGACCAAAAATAGGGTGAATTTAAATGTTTTTATTACATAAGATATATTGCCATTGTCATTAGTTATAGTAGTGTGGCGACCTGATGTCCTGAACTAATTCAAAATGTTTACTTTTCGTGGTCATTTTAACTTTGGGAAAGACAGTAGTTGCACAGTGCCAGATCTGGTGAACAGGTGGATGAGGATACATCATAATGTATTTTACCAGCTGGCCTTTCCACTGGATGGCACGGGGCAGCAGCATTCACTAAATTTTTCTATCACACCCCAGAGACACAAAAGAGGATTTCCAGAACTGCTTCAGAAAGTTACAAAAATGATAGCAAGTGTGTTCACAGAGGGGAGTATGCTGAGGGGGAGGGTTGATGGCTATGTGTCCTTTACTATAACAAATTTTATTTAGACATTCACCATATATTTTTATCTTGGGTTTTACAGCTAGGATTTTAAAAGTCATTTAACTGTTCAAATATTTTTTTTTTCATAAACAGGCTTAACTGTGTAAGAAGGATATCTTAAAATTATGTTTTTTAATTTACATGTCATCATATTGTGATTTAATGGACAATTAGGCACTTCAGAGGTCTCTCACTTTCTCTTTAGGAATTCTGGTTTGGAGTCTTAAGGTCCCAGAGTGTATTACCTGTGAGCAACTTCTGGCATTTCCTAGGGACTAACAGATACTGAATGCTTAAACTGGTATAGCAGCATGAGCTAAACAACAGCAAAAACTTTTAGTTTAAATCGAATTATATGAACTGAATGTCAGTATCTCACTCATTATAAAGGTCTTTAATTTTCAAAACAAATTTTTATTTATTAAATCCAAATGAATTCTTTCCAAACAGGTTGGGAAATAAAAAGATAAATGGATTGAAAGCCACGGTGTGCACTCAAGGGAATGGAAGAAAGAAGAGGCAAAATATTATCTATGATTTTAGAGACAAAGAACAGAATGAGCAAACATTTCATCCAAGATTTCTAGTTTCTGATTTTTTTGACTGTTCTCCTGGGTACCAGCTGCCTCTGAACAGAGATCTGCCTAATGGGAGTCACAGGCACCCTCCGTAAAAGCCACAAAATACCCAAAATGACAATCACCAGGACAGAAATACCTTGAAGAAAACAAGCCAAGGCCAATTACAGGATCTTGGATCTGAATGACTACATGGTTGGACGAGTAACTGTCAATCCAAAAAAAAGAATACAATCTCCAAAAGATAAATTTTCTATGTATTTACTTGCAGGTCTAAAGGTAGAGAGACTAGGCACTCACAGGGAAGCACCTGGCAATCAGACTCAGTATAAATGAATTAAAAAGTTTATTAGTTATAGAAAAAACAGATTGTTCAAAATCAATTCTTGTTAAGTTCCCTGTAAAACAATAAGCTTACAGCAAATTTCTTTCTCATGAAGAAAAAATTCACTATACTTTTGGTCCAAGATATGTTGGGTTTTTTCCTTCTTCTTCAGATGACAGATGGATGTAGCCAAATCTACGAACGAGTGTACTTGCCCCAAATGTGCAACATAAATACAGAAGCGATGAACAGAAGACTCATAACCAATACTGGAACAGGGCCACTAGAAATAAGAAGAGAAGACATGCTTACTTCAGTGATGATATATTATTAAATTTAATACCAAAAATGGCCTAGGAGCAAAGTGAGGAGAAGAAGCACTTAGGAATCATCCAGGAACATTATTTACATCATTTAAAAATATTGCCCAAATGATTATCGTGGTTATTTTGAGAGTGTCATGACAGCGCCGTGGTTGTGCTTAGAAAGTAAGAGTCCATATCTTATAGTCAAACATACCAAAATATATACAAATTAAATGATCTGATGTAAGATAATGTACCCTAAACAGTGTTTCTTAAATAGATCCCATTCTGATCTGTACTACAAATTCATGACACAGGCAAGACAGATATTAATCTCATAATAAGCAATACAATTAAGGCTCAGCGGGATCGTTACCTGCCTAAAAACACATAGCCAAAACAGAAAGGAGAGACTTGAACTTGGGTTTTCTGATCCACACATACTGTTCACTGTACTGCCTCAAGGTCCCATCTTCAAAGAGCAAACATTCTAGCCAGGATGCTTCAGTCTGACTTACAATTTTAGTGTAGGAAGGAAATAGATTTCTCTCATCTACCCTTAACTAAACCAAATGCTTTTCCACTTTGTTTTTTGGGTACCAGGGATCAAACCCGGGACCTTCCACTTGCAAGGCAGGCAGCAGAACAACTAAGCTAAATCCCAGGCGGGTATATGGGTTTTAGAGGATGAATTCCTTGAATGTTTACTTTAGGCGCCACCTCTCTGACTCTTCCTGCTTATACCAACTTTGGAGAATTCAAGCTATCTCATTTCACCTCCCAGACACAACTGGGAAGTACAGTGGAAAAAGGAAATCTTCACAGTCACCCAGGCAATGGAGTGAAACCTATCAAGACAGCAGGGCTAACAGAGACCATGAGTGGACAATAAACACTGCACAGATTAAAATCTTTGTTACTGCTACTACTTTATTCTGCCAAAAATTTTTTAATTAAGGGAATAAACAAATTTAAATAAAAAATAAACAACTGTAAATAAATATGAGAAAAAAGCATCACATTCACTTGACCTAAGGTAATGTTACACCAACATCAGCGACAGAGCACAAAGCTGAGATTCCAGCTATCAGAGTCACATATTGGGTTCTGGAAACCAACTCTGATGTACAAGCTGAGACTGTGGCCCTTCCTCTTTGTTCAAGTCTGTCTCCTTATCTATGTAGTGGGGACAGTCACAGTGCCTACCCCAGGGGATCGCTGAGAGATTAAGTATATAATACATATGCAATACAAGTTTATAGTCAGTACTCAGGAAATATGGATTTGTGGATAAGAATTTACCTAAAACACCATCCCTGATGTGTTGAGAATGGGACTGATTCTTGGGAGGACTGAGCCATGGCAGCCAAACAGCCCAGCTGCATAACAGCAAGAAGCCTGGAGCAGGCACAAGTCAGACTCACCCACCAAAGAATGGGTTTCTCCCATCTTCTCAATAAGGGTTTAAAAACAAGTCCCTGGATACCCCAAAGAGCAAGGGAATTAAAAATCACCTCTAAAAAGACCAAAAAGCCATCAGGCACAACATCACCAATGCACATATCACCAATCCCAAAAAATTACTTCCTAAACACATCCTTACAAGTCTCCAATTAAAAAACAAAACAAAAAAAATCAATCAATGATTTAAACCAAATCTCAAGGACACTAGGGGAAGCTTTCATAAAACTAAGTTTGTAATCCAAGACAAGCATCTGGACAAATTAGCTAACCCAATTCTGTCTCTTTTCTATCAGACAGGCATATAGAAAGAGTATGGGACTTTTTAGCTAAAGTAACTGGTCCCTTGCTGTTTGTCTCTAAGCTCATCAATTTGTCTCTCTGAACCTAAGTCTCCATGGCTACAAAATGGTGTTTCACCTACCTCACAGGATTGCTGGGCATATCAAACTACAAAATAGCTATTAAAGTTCTTTGCAAATAACCAAGTGCTCTGCAAATTTGCTATTATTAGTCCAATTCTTTATCCACTGTGTTGAGTCAAGAAACAGCTGTAAGCAGCAGTGTTCTGGAGCCCACTTTGACCAGAAACCTGTGGGATTAGTCTACTATTGTAGCAGAATGGTAAATGAGGGGTTCCAGGCACAGGGATAGGGCCTACTTCCTATCACATAAGCACTCACAGGCCTAGGAACTTGGGAAGTGATATGTTCACCCTCCTAGGTCCACTCACCACTCTCCCAAGGCAAGCAGGCCACGTTGTGGTAACACAGACTAATTGAAAAACTTCCATTAGGGTGTAATAATACCAGCTTATGCCTCTAGGAGAACTCTGAAAAATCACCCAATTCCTATTCAGATGGTTGTCCCTATTTCTCACTGTGGGGCAAGAACATCAAATGAGCAATTTCATCTAATTAAGCAGTGTTCCCTCCAGTTCTCTCTGTTCTCATCACTTACTCTGACATAGCTACAAAAAGATCTTCCTTCCTTTTCACTCATTCTATGAAGAGATGTCACTCAGGCCCTAACCTATCTAATCAGTTGATGAATGAGCAAGCAAAACCCAGATCACCTGCCACACCTAAGTGGCTGTGTATTATCCAACTCATAAAAACAAGTACCAGTCTTAGCAGAGACAGATTGCACTGCCACGCTCTGCCACAGTAGACAGATACACAAGGCCTGCTCCCAAGACTTACACTTTGAGCCCCGGTGAATCTTCTGTGTAAAATCGCCACATGCCCCCAGTGCCTGCTGAGGTCGTGCGGCCTGTGCTTCTTGTTCCACAGCTGGCATTCTTCCTGAAGGAGAAGAAAATATTACCTACAGCCTTTTCTTGGAAATCTTTATATCACTGTAACACATGCTACCAATAAATGGTCAAAGAATCAATAAGAAAAAACTTCACTGCTAGTACAGATTCAAATTCCTGCTTTTATTCCATAGATCCTAAGTACTATGCAGTATCTACTATATACCAATGCACACAATAAACTTGGCAAGTAGTTACCATTTCCCATTTCACATGAGGAAAATTATACTCAGCAAAGTGTCTTTCTTAAGATCACATGACCAGAAAGTGGCTAAGTGGAATGTGGACCCAGCTCTGACTCAGAGCCCATGGACTGCCCACAACATCCTGTCTCCTCACTTGGACAGTATATTTCAGTTTCCCTTCACATGTGGTTTTGTGAAGGCAAGTAAGAAGCACCTGTTTTAAATTCCCTAAATCTATATAAGCTAATCTCAAAACGACTACTTTAAAAGGCATTTTTAAATTACTGTTTACAGAAAGAGAAAAAAGACGTTAAGTTTTAATTGTATATGAGTACCAGAAATGAAATATGCATTTTACAGAAAAATACTTCCTACTCTGCTTTTGCTATTTTGTTATAATGACCACAGATCTTGCACGAGATGTGAAAAACTGCAGAACTTGTGCTCTGCAAAAGAATCAAGGCTCATGAGATGTGCTGGGTGATCCAGGCAGCCCTAGTGGGCAGAAGACGACTGACAGAACTGACACTGCTGATCAGGAAGAAGCCTAGGGAACCCTTTCCCTCCCTGCTGGGAGAACCCTTGGGTCACTGGGGAGCTTCACCTAGCAAGTCTCCTCCCACACAGTACTACCCAAATCTCATCCCTGCGCTAGAGCAGTACAACACGTAAGAAAGTAGTAAGTGGTAAGGAGAAGTAAAAAATGAATCTTCTTCAGCCCATATCACCAGCCCAGAAGTCTTAAATGAGAAAGGAGAGGGAATGCCCTGTTCAATTACTGCCTCCGCTAGCAACTAAATCCCAATTTACCTTTCCTTAGACTCCCTTTCCAGTAGATTATGGGTTGCTGATTCTGGATTTTTTTTAAAAAAAAGGAAGAACACACAAAGAAATCCAAGTGAAAACTCAGTCCCTACCACCTCTTCTTTCTTTCCTCCCACTCTGGTCACTGCACCCTACCATGGCCTGTATACCACACTGAATATAAGAACCACTGGCTACAACTCAGGGAGCCTGTGCTGCCAAGTGTGTGGGAGAATACAGTCCTGGTTTCAGTTTGGGTTCCAGTCAAAGAACTGAGCTAATGAGAGAACTTTTATTAGAGGGACAATGATTTGGGTCTATTGAACTATAACAATTATATTTCAGACACATTAATTATGGGCCACATGGTCACCTGAGCACTTAGAGCTCCATTTGTATGACTGTTTCTAAGGGAAAATTGATTGTAAATAGCAAATATAATAGTACAGGAATTTAGAGTAACTCATGCACTTAGGCATCCACACACACATTTAATATATGGAGCAGGTAACTAAAATTTTCTTCCTTCATAAAAAGAAACGAGTTAGAAGATAATTCTAGAGCCAACATGCCAAGTCATCCGCTTGACCCATGCACTTTGCCACTACTCCCGTAATTTCTGGACTCCAGTTCCTGTCTTCAAAGTTGGAATTACAGAATCCTCAATGCAATTAGCGTGGCCTCTTTTAAGACTTCTCGCCTTTGCTGGCACACAGGCAATGAATTTGAAAACCAAGGGTCTATTTTACCTTTTCTTTCTGGCCAATACATCTTCCTATAACTTAACAAAACAGTGTTCAGACCTAATCATTTACACTGTGTTCTAACACAATGGCACTCTGGTTGTTCCTTAAACAAGCCAATCTCAATAACCTCATTCTTTACACTTAAGCATTCCTGTTGCCTAAGAAGACTATTCCTGCCCAGACCACTGTTATGATGTTTCCTTGTTTCTTTCAGTTCTCTCTACTCAAATGCCACCCACTCTGAACACCCCATTTAAAACAACTCTCAACACTTATGCTATACCAACCATTCTCTATTCCCTACCTAGCTCTATTTTTTGTCATAGCCCTTACTGCCTGAATTACATTACTTATTTGTCTCTTGTGGTCTTCCACACTAGAATAAAGTTCATGGAATGAGGACAAACCCCATGTTGTGATTATGGCTTGTGTTCAGATGTCCGCCCCAGCAAAGCCTCATGTTTTTTCAAAAGTGGTTGAATCTAGAGTGTATGATAGATTCATGGTGGGGGTAGGCCCAAGGGCACTAGGACTAAGGCCTGAGTGCTACCAGCTCTAATAGTCTGAATAAAATAAAAGGGGCAGAAAGACATGTAACAGTCCCTTGTTGCTTTTACTGTCTTCTGCCTCCATGAACTGTCCCCGCTCTGCCATCCTGCCTTGGAACCAGCCAATTATGGACTGAAACCTCTATAAACTGTAAGCCAAATAAACCTTTCCCCTAACTTTGGGTGTTGGGTACTTTGTCTCAGTACCATGAGAAAAGTAACTAACACTGCTGTACACAGATCTATCCTTTAATCTTTTTTTTCCTTTCTTTCTTTTTTTGGTACCAGGGATCGAACTCCAGATCTTGCTCTTGCAAGGCAGGCAGCAGCACCCGTGACCTAAATCCCGAGCCCAATATCCTTTAATCTTAGGCAGTGCATGGCATGTAATAGACCCTTAGTAACTATTTGATGACTATCTTAATATTCCTGTCTACTACTCCACCATCTTAATGTCTCTGGTTCCCATTAATTCTGCTTGAACACTGCAAAACGTCCCAGTTTTGCCACTTATAATGCATTATTGCTCCTTTTCATCCTCATAACAACTTCCTTTTACACTGTATCAAGCAGAGCAAGGATTCCAACCCAGACTGACCTTAAATCCTATACTGTTTCTTCTCCAAGGTATTATTATTTGTATTACTTTATTCAGCAGAGAATGCAAATCTGCCAACTATATAATCCACAGATTCATTGTTAATCAGTATCTTCAACTTTTTCTCAAAGACATGAGTACAAAGCATGGACATATTCTCAGACAACCAATACTTCTATTACACTCATGAATACTTAATACTTAACCAGTAATTAACTTCTAGAAGAGAATAGAGGGTCTCTCAGTACATAAAACCACAGATTGTTTGTCGGGTTATATTGGCTCTACCATACTAAATCCTAAAGATGCTATTAATATCTTTAACTTTAAAAGCTCTAGCTATTCATTTCACGTGTTATTATTTCACTTGTATTACATAAATTGACTATAATTACATCAGATAAAACATATGCTTTCATTTTCTTTAAAAATTCCCACATAGCCAAACTTCTAGGCCTCATGTAGTAATACCACTTCTCTTTAATCAGAACCATTCCTCCAAGGAACTATTCATGTCTACAGGAAAGAATTCTAGCAAAGAATCTCAGTCTAGCAACAGGAAAGCACTCCAACTGCATATAATTCAAATCGCATCCTGATGCACTTTCCAGAAACATCTCAGTAATTATTCAGGATAACTTACAGTTGCTTCTGATAGTTGTTTACAATTTCCTTCTCTGAGTTGTGTTGTTTCACGTATATTCAAATGACCAGTATTAGACTTATGATTATAAATTCAGATTTTCTATTGAGGCCAACAAGAAAAGCCTTATCCCTCTTCACATTCTTAAGGATAGTTTTCATGCATCTCCTCTCTAAATAAAGCATTACTAGGTCCTTTAAAAATCCCAAGACAAAAGGGTTACTCAGTTCCTTCATTCATTCATAATTTACTGCACCAGGACTTATGACAGGAGCTGAAGAAAGGTAAGACTGGGGAAGTTTCTCTATCAAAGTCTAGCAGAGGAGATAAACATAAAACATATGTCTTTACCATAAATATGAACAAAATACTATCAGGAGCAAAAGCAAAGACCAATCGCTACCACTGGTGCCTGCTGATTAGAGGTCTCCAGTGGAAATAATCCTGGGCTTTGTCTTGGAAAATAAAGGTATTAGGGGAGGGACTGCCAGGCTGGAGGGCTGGTGAGTTCACAAAACACTAATAAATTCACTATTACTAAATTACAGGAGAAAGGACAAAAGACTGGAAAGATCACCAAAAGCCGTGGTCCCCACACCACCTTTTAACATTTGCCAACAAGAATCTAACAAGAAACAAAGCAGAAAACTAACAGCTGACTGGATGATGGCCTGGAATGGAAATGGCCTAAGAGAAGAGGGAGGTAGCAAATACAAAAGTAGATAAGCGAGGTTAAGAAGTAAACTGGGGCAGCAGAAATGAAAAAGGAAAAAAAAATCATGAGAAGGTTTTCGTGTTAAATCAATTAATGTACGACATATGGCGGGATTCAGAAATCCGCGATGAAGCTGAAGTTTCTGGTTCGGGGTAAACGAGTATCAGTACCATCTGGAAATAAGACATAGTATGGGACGGGGAAGTTATGTTAAACTGACTGTGTACAGTACTTCTGGATTGAAATGCGAAGGCAAAGCTCAGGTCCAGAGACACCAGCCTAACGACATAAGTTATCCCTGATTCTAATCCAGTTTAATTTTTCTTCTTAAGAAGCGCGAAACTGAGCAAAAAAAAATGATGCCCTCCATGGCCATATCACCTCAGGTTCCTCTTGCCCTTGTGAGTCTTAAGGTCCTGGGGTCTCCTGCTCTGATCAAAGAATTCTTGGGCCCCATCTCTTCACGTCAGCAACCCAGCGGGCCGCGGGGATCGTTACCTTTGCCGGACAGTGGATCCCGCCGCCCGGGCGGCAACTGCTTTGCTGGGAGAACGCCCCGAGGAGCCCACGTTAGTGCCACTAGGAGTCGGACCGGGCTAGAGTAGGGAACAGACAAACTGTGAGCCTCGCGGCCTGGACCCCGGACCCCACTAGCACCCGAACGAAAAGACCGGGGAAACAAAGGAAGTCCAGAGAAAGAGAAAAGCAAGACAGGAGTCGGGAGGGAGGCCGCATACCATGCTGGAGGACGGAGAACTGTAAAAAGCTGAGGAAGACACTGAAAGGTTGCCTGGCAAAAGAAGAACCGGCGCCTAGGGAGACTGGCTCAGGCCCTGCCCCAGGCCCCCTGGCAGGGTCCTCGCAGACTCCCAGGATCCCTAGGTTGTCCACTGATATGCCTGTGGAAACTCTGCTGAAGGCGACCTGACCAGCCGCTGAGAGGGAAGTACAGACTCTTTTGTCATTTCTTTGGATCACAGCGTCCTTCATATAACTCAACCTCTCTCAAAAGGAAGATATAGACTAGATCGGACGATAAACTTTCTCTGGCAGTTACTAAGCCCCCACAGATTTGCGCTGATGTGGCCGAATTGACGCGTGCGCGGCGGGGCGTTGTCGGCCCTCGGTGGCCAGCTGGGGTCCGGGGGCGGAGCTTGCGGTAGCCAGGAACGGCTGTAGTATCATGGCCGAGGCGCCGGGCCAAGGCCAAGATGCTGGTACTAATCCGTCGGTGCTGTTCCTGCACCCGGACCTGGGCGTGGGCGGCGCCGAGCGGCTGGTGCTGGACGCGGCTCTGGCGCTGCAGGCGCGAGGCTGTAGAGTGAAGATCTGGACGGCGCACTACGACCCTGGCCACAGCTTCGCCGAGAGCCGGGAGCTGCCGGTGAGCTGCGCCGGGGACTGGCTGCCCCGCACCTTCGGCTGGGGCGGCCGCGGCGCCGCCGTCTGCGCCTACTTGCGCATGGTCTTCCTGGCGCTCTACGTGGTGTTCCTCGCAGACGAGGAGTTCGACGTGGTGGTGTGCGACCAGGTGAGGGAGCCTGGGGCCCTTGAGGGAAGACCTCAGAGCTCTGCGGTTCCGAAAGGTCGCGACTGGCCTGCAGAAGTCCTCTGGAAGTGAGACTTGTCGAATTTAAGCACGGATCCTAAAGTTGCAGATCGCAGCCGTACCCCTTTTTAGGAAGCTTTCCGATGGAGCCCAGAAACAAGCAAATTAATTGGGTTGTCATGACCTTGAAGCAGATGGGGCTTCGGGCTCGCGCTCAGGAACACTAGCATTAGAAGTCGGCTGCAGTTATCTTGTACGTCTGAGAAACTCGTGTGTTGCCTTCCCACTTTGTTATTTCTGTTGACTTTACTTCTAGGTCCTATGCATCCCTCTGTCTGTAGTCTCTCCAGCCAGGCCACCGCAGTTTTCATTATGGTGTCATATATTAAAGGCACCAAAGTTAAATGTGTCATGTCCTATTAAAACTTTAACATGGTTCCCCATTGGTCTTTGGAGAAAAGTCTAAATTCTTTCTGTACCTTGATAACGTTCAGCTGGATCTACCCTATAGCTATTCCAGACTTTTTTCTTAGATATTTTTCCAACCCCAAATTCTTATTTTAAAAAGAAATATTTACTCAGCAGTAAAATTCAAACAGTATGAAAAGGTGTAGTGTAAAAGTCCCATTCCATTCATCTTCCAGAAGATAGCCACCTTCAAGTTATTCCTGTATCTGTCCTGGAAATTGGCTAAACCAGTATATGTATGTTTGTTTATAGGTACATCTTTTTTTCTTTTCATGTAAGTGCTAATATTTTATCCTTTTATAGATACATCTTATTTGTACATAATTGGGATTATAATATGCCTTCTGTTGTATACTTTGGTCAGCAAAAAAAATTGTATTTGGAAATCCTTATGAAGCATTATTAGAGATTTACTTCGTTGTAGTGACTAGGAAGTACACTTTTGTTTGAATATACCATGATTCATGCATTCTTCTGTAAAAGGACACAAACATTGTGACCGGTTTTGTGTGTGTGTGTGTGTGTGTGTGTGTGTGTGTGTGTGAATGGATCAGTATTGTCATGAACATCCTTCTACTTTTTTGTTTTACACTTTACAAGCGTATTGTCATTTGAGTAAATTCCTAAAAATAAAGTTGTGGGTCAAAGAGTAGTTCATTTTGAATGTCGGTAGGAGTTGCCCAATTTGCCTTCCAGAGATTTCCTTCTCCTCTTGTCCACATTGGATATTGTCCACCATTTTAATTACTGCCAAACTGGTAGAAGTAGCATCACCCATTCATTTGTGTTTATTCGACTACGACTTCGGAGTTACTTTTGAGCATCTTTGCTTATGTGAAAGCCATTTATTTTTAAGAAATGTGAATATTCAACATTTTGAATATTCAACAATGTGAATATTCAGTTGGGCATGGTGACACACATCTGTAATTTCAGCACTGTGAGGCAAGAGGATTTCAAGTTTGAATCAAGCCTGGGCAATGTAGCAACTTAAAACCTTGTCTCAAAAAATATGTAGGGGTTGGGGTGGCTCAATAGAAAGGTTCTAGGTCCAATCCTCAGTATGCAAAAAAAAAAAAAAAAAAAAGGTTCTAGGTCCAATCCTCAGTATGCAAAAAAAAAAAGAAAGAAATGTTTAGCAAAGATTTACCAAACATTCTACATGTGTCTATCAGTAAACAGGAAGCAGCTAAAATGTAGTAGGTAGAGAAAAAAATGGGGACCTGGAAGTAGGAGCACTAGATTTAAGTTCCATACTCCCTGCTTATGTAGCTTTGGATGAATTACACAGTATCCCTAAAGTACAACTTCTTTGGATTTTTTTTTTTTTCCGGTACCGGGGAGGCCACCAAACCACTGAGTTAAATCCCCAGCCGCTGGATATTATTTAAATGAGCTAGGGATTACATAATTTGTAAAGGTTTCCATTTCTATAGAAATGCCAGCCTATAAATTGTGCTCAGTAATCATTATGATTAATATTTATTTCACACATAATGCATGCTAAATTTAAAGTTTTACACGTATTAGTGCATTTCATAGTCAAAAACTATGTGGATGTTTTAAACTATGACTGTTACTATGTTACATAAGACACTGAAGCCCAGAAAGGAGTAGAATACTTGATCGCACAATTAGAACTAAAATTCAAACCCTGGAAATCTTACTACAGAGTCTAAACTATGATGCCTTTGTGTTTGTTGAGTACTTAAAATATGGCCAGACTGAACTGATACACTAAATTGTAAAATATAAACCTGATTTTAAAGATTTAATATGAAAATATAAAGTATCTCATTAAAATATTTAAGCATTGATTATATTTGGAATTCATTTGATTGTATTTAGGTAAAGCATATTAAGATTAGTTTCACCCTCAGGTGAACTTTAATGTTATTGGATTTTTATTTTTATTTCGGTTAGACCACACTGTTCAAGAGGAAATCACTAGACTTACAGCTTTAAGTGTTTAGCACATGTCCTACAGATGTCTGCCAGCCTTCTGTATAGCAGTCATTATACTGGGCATAGAAGGGGAATACAGAGCAGAATTAGGCATTGCCCATGAGGAGCCAAACACAGGTAGGACATGTATCTGTGCTTCTGATTGATTGAAGCTCAGTTGACCATTTTATCTGCTGTTGATTTTACTTTGGCTAGGTGTCGGCCTGTATCCCTGTGTTCAAGCTGGCCAGACGACGTAAGAAGATCCTGTTTTACTGTCATTTCCCAGATCTGCTGCTCACCAAGAGAGATTCTTTTCTTAAGCAGCTATACAGGGCCCCAATTGATTGGATAGAGGAATATACCACAGGCATGGCAGATTGCATCTTGGTCAACAGCCAGTTCACAGCTGCAATTTTTAAGGAAACTTTCAGGTCCCTGTCTCATATAGACCTTGATGTTCTCTATCCATCTCTGAATGTCACCAGCTTTGATTCAGCTGTTCCTGAAAAACTTGATGACCTAGTCCCTAAGGGAAAAGAGTTTCTGTTCCTCTCTATTAACAGATATGAAAGGAAGAAAAATCTGAAATTGGCACTAGAAGCCCTCATACAGCTACGTGCACGATTGACTTCTCAAGACTGGGAGAGGGTTCATCTGATCATGGCAGGTGGTTATGATGAAAGAGTCCAGGAGAATGTGGAACACTATCAGGAATTGAAAAAAATGGTCCAGCAGTCTGACCTTGGCCAGTATGTGACCTTCCTGCGGTCATTCTCAGACAAGCAGAAAATCTCACTCCTCCATGGCTGCACATGTGTGCTTTATACACCGAGCAATGAGCACTTCGGCATCGTCCCTCTGGAGGCCATGTACATGCAGTGCCCGGTCATTGCTGTCAATTCAGGTGGGCCCTTGGAATCCATCGTCCACAGTGTTACAGGCTTTCTGTGTGAGCCTGACCCACTACACTTCTCAGAAGCAATAGAAAAATTCATCCATGAACCATCCTTAAAAGCTACAATGGGTCTGGCAGGAAGAGCCAGAGTGATGGAGAAATTTTCATCTGAAGCATTTACGGAACAGCTCTACCAGTATGTCACAAAACTGCTGGTATAGTCAAATTTGTTTAGGGTTCTCTACGCCGCATTCACTGACATTATTTTTATGGATTCTGAGTCCAGTTTTGAGACCAGAAGAGATGTTTTAAAAATAAACTCGAGTCTGTTTTTATTGGTGTGGGGGATCGAACTCAGGACCTTGCATTTGCAAGGCAATCTGCAGCACCACTGAGCTAAGTCCCCAGCCCCAAACTTGAGTCTTGAATCTGAACTACCATTCTGTATACCACATCTCCCTGTGTACTTTTCAAAATAAGAGTATCTCTTACACTATGATTGTTAAAAGTCTTACCGTGTTCAGAATATTTTATTTTCTTTGAATTATTGTTGCTTTGCCTGTAAATTTTGAATCATACTGTGCCTTAATTGGTTTTGATAGTTTTAAATATATCATGATCAAAAGTTGATTAATGAATGAGAACAGAACTTTGGTAGGTTCCAGAATCAATCAGGTGTTCACTGTCATATGTTAGTGGAATTTTTGTTGGTCAGACTGTTGCTTAGATTCATAGCAAGAGTGTTTAACTTTTTTTTCTTACAAAGATGATGTATTTTTTTCACACAAACATGACAATAAAAGATGCTTGGCATAGGAATAAACGAAAGGTTTTAGCCTCTGTGGCCTATTTTTGTACTGTTAGATAAATTACTCAAAAGAGCCGGGTGTGGTGGCGCACGCCTGTAATCCCAGCACTCAGGAGACTGAGGCAGGAGGATTGCTGTGAGTTCAAGACCAGCCTGGGCTACATAGTGAGTTCCAGGTCAGTCTCAACTACATAGTGAGACCCTGTCTCAAAAAACCAAAAAAAATTTTTAAAAAATAAGGTAAGTTACTCAAACATGAAGTCAAACTGAAGTGAATGTTGACATGAAGAGGGAATATTGTCACATGTGCGATGTGCATAGCTCACTATTACTGTGACAAAATATCTTTAATCAACTTTTTAAAAAAAGAATCAGGGCTGGGGATATAGCGCAGTGGCACCACATCTGCCTTCAAAAGCACGAGGTCTTGAGTTCAATTCCTGGTACCCCCCCCAAAATGAATCAACTTAAAGGGAAGAGAGGTTTACTTCGGCTCACGGTTTCAGAGATTTCAGTCCATGGTCCCTTGCCCTGTTCCCTTGAACCTGTGGCAGCACAGTACATCACAGCAGGAGCATATGAAAGAAGAGACCTGTTTACCTGTGGCAGCTGGGGTGCATAGAAACAGGAAAAGGCCAAGATCCTAATATCCCTTCAGAGGAATGCCTCAATGACCTCATTTCCTTCCACTAGGCCCCTTATACAGTACTAAGTTCCACCACTTCCCAGTAGCACCTTGGACTCATTAAGCCAAGTCTTCAACACATGGGCCTTGGGAGATATTGAGGACCTAAACTAACATATCTTGTTTAAGGCTTGTTTCTCAGTGTTCTCTAAATCACCAGTTTCATTAGTATTTATGTTGTATTAACTCCCAAGTACTATCTCAGTACACAATTTTTTTATCCTTCAAGGCCCAACTCAAAAACCACTGCTCCAAATAAAGCTTTCCTTGACCACTTCCCAAGGTAGAAGTGATCTTCCTCTTTCATGTAGTCTAGCCCTTTTATGCTACTAACCAGTTCTCACGGTTCATTGTGTACCTGTTTGTCTATGTCCAAATAATGAACATAAAGCAATTTCCAGTATACCACTAAAGTTCATTTTACTTTTAAAATTAGCAAATATCGAGCCGCAGATTTAGTTCAGTGGTGCTGCCACCTGCTTCGCAAGTGCAGGGTCCTGAGTTTGATCCCCAGTATGACAAAAAAAAAACTAGCAAATATCAGTAGTCAAAGGCTCCACATTATTGGACTCTAAGAACATAGATTTGAGAGCATAACAGCCTACATGACTAAGAAAAGAAATCTGCACCTTAGCTTCTGTAAGCTGGGATCATTGTTCTGTTTACTTTCCTCAGGGTGGTTATGATAGGATTCAGTAGCATATACAGAGCTCTTTAAAACTGTACTTGGCACATAAATACACATGACTAAATACTGTGAATGTATTATGTTTTAAAAATGTATTACAGTAAAAGACACATTGCTATGAGTGCACCTCAGAACATTCCCCCCTTGCTTTGAACACAGCATTCTTGCCACTTTCTGAAGCAGTTCTGGAGGTTCTCTTCATGTCTTGTTGAATTGTCATGTCTGCCTCAGTGTCCTGAACTAATTCAAAACCTCTCTCTTTAATGATCATTTTGACTTGGGGGTAGAACTAGAAGTCCCACATTCCCAATTCTAGTGAATGAAGACCTGGTGTAATGTCTTCATTTGATAGGAATTGCCATAAACATTTATAGTCTTTAATGGTTTTTTATTTAAGCATTCACTATTTTGTGATCATACTTCATAAACCTTAACTATTGTTTTGCAATTTTGGAATATTGAAAATGACTAAAGTTCTCTGTAGGTTTCATACTGCCCTACTGTTAGTATTCTGGGATGATTTTTTTTTTTTTTTCTTTTAAGAGTAGGAAAAATTTATTCAGAGAAAGATAGCTTCTGTCTAACAGAGACAGAAGGGGGACCAGAAAATGGGTTGCCCGCTCACCCCACTTTTCAAAGATGTTTTATACAGCAAAGCCATGTGGGGAGGCAGATACAAAGTGGGACAAAACTATAATACCTAATGGAAAATTATGAGGTGGGGCAAAACCAAGGCCAACCAATAAGATTACAAGTACAGTCACCCAGGTAATATTGATTAAGGGGGGATCAAATGAGGGAGCAAGTCTCTAGCAAGTACAAGGATTTTCAGTAAGGGTGGGGGGTCAGGGATAGTTCCTGGAAAGGTTGTATTAAGATATCGGGCCCCTCACCAATAGATTGATACCTATTTAGAATGTCAATCATTGCTATTTATCCCTAGGGGAAGCAGAAGGGTATAGTAGTTTCTCTCCTTTTACAGTTCTGGCCACACTGAATGTGTCTATTGTCCTCCATGTTGGCTCCTTGCTATGTTGGCTCCTTGAGGGCGGCCCTGTCTAGCTGCCTACAGGATATCGAATTAACTTACCTATCTGCAATATTCCCCACTCTGAAGAAGCACCCCTAACTGCTGTGAGGGGGCAAAGGGTGAAGACAGCTCTGGCTACTTCCAGATGAAGAGAGTCATATTTGTGATCAACAGTTAGTTACTCTACAGAGGGTCTACAATACCTAATGATCACTGACAAAGAGTTCCCCTTTCACCTCACAGAGGAGTCCAGATGGGACAAGATGTGGAGACTTTCTGCTGATTACTGGAATGGGCTGTCGAGAGCTAGTTTCTTCTGAGGGACCTTTGGGAATCTTCCAGAAAGTAGCCCTGGCCATGACCCTTCAGTTGTCATCTCAGTTTCCACCAGTTCCATGCAATCAGAGATCTGTCTCCAAAAGGAACCCAATTGCCTATCTGGTCAATTGGCATCAATATGAGTGGAGATTCACCAGAGGGCAACTGGAGAAAACTCCTCTGCTTTGAGAGTGGCAACTGCCCTAAAGGCAATTACTAGCTGGCAGAGTAACCACCATTTGTTTCCAATTCTATAAAGATAAAAGCCTGAACTGTCTTTATCTGAGATGATTTCATAAGACACCCATTTTACAGCATTTTAAAGAAACTAAGTCCAAATGCAACACATACAAAATAAGAATAAAATGTAATTTTAACAAAACAATGCATTAAAAAAACAAATTTGCAAACATTTAAAACACACAACTTAGAATTGACACCTTTGAAACAAAAGCCAAAAGAAAGGCCAGAATTTATGAAACAAAACCAGAATGTATGAGACAAATGAGAGCCTATGAAACAAGTTATAGTCTATGAAGCAAAAACACCAAAATTAGAACCTATGAAAGAAAACTTACCTCCAACCAGTAATCTCGATGGAAGACCTCCAAAATGATATAGAGGGGCCGAGCGTGGTGGCACACGCCTGTAATCCCAGCACTCAGGAGACTGAGGTAGGAGGATCGCTGTGAGTTCAAGACCAGCCTGGGCTATATAGTGAGTTCAAGGTCAGTCTCAACTACATAGTGAGTCCCTATCTCAAACCCCCTCCAAAAAATGATGTAGGGGAAAGAGACCTAACTCCCAAATCTGCTAGATATCCAAAATGCAAGTTCATGTTCTCTAAAATCGAAGAATGAATTCTAGGAACAATGGAGGTTAAGAGTAGGAAAAGTTTATTGAGGGAAAGAAAGCTGTCCAAGAGAGACAGAAGGGGGACTGGAAAGTGGGTTGCCCCATTCTGGGATTCTTAAAGGATGAAATTCCAGTTTATAATTTGTCACCTGAATCTGTATTACAGGAGTACAGTATTTATTTTTAAATTACACCATACCAAAAAGGAATTCTACAAAATGAGGGTGTCCAACTTTGTTCTATTGAATTTCAATTTCTTTAGCATTATGAAAGTTTACCATTTATTAAAATAGATGAATCTGTGTTTTGTATTTCTGATAACTTCATTGTTTCCAGAAAAACCTGCTGGGTTAGGACAAGTAGGATTGGTCACACTGTGACCATAGCTGCAGCTAGCCCTTTCAAAGCACTAAATCTTTTAATTTTTTATGGAGATCCCTCCAAGATGGGCAACGTGGATCCAAAGGTCCTTAATTTAAGTTGTCATTATCCTAAGGCTCTGCGGGTGATAGTAATCCTTCACAGATCCGGGAGGGCTGCTGAACTTCCAGCTGCTGGGCAGATGCAGCTGAGGACGGAGCTTTGCCCACTGGAGGTGTTCACAGCTTCCAAAACTAATAAGAGGTATGGAAAAAAGGAGCATGCAACACCAGAAGTGACATCAGTAGTAACTCTAGCACTTGGAGAATCAGTGCTTCTCCATGTTTGGGGCATGATGGGAGAGAGGCACAATAGACAGACAATTCCTTGAAACCTGACAACCCGTGTCTGGAGTGCAGGTCTCCTCCGTTTGAAGATGAATGTGATTTAACTTGCCCAGGTCACAGCCTTGAGGGCCGGGCCGTCTCAGCGCTCTGATGCCATAGTCCCACTATGACCTTCAGTCCAGAAGCTCCATGTTCTTGTTGTCTGCAGTGTGCCTGTTGAGGTCCGCATGTTCAGAAAGGATTTATTGTTCACTTTCCTTTTCATCTTGGGGCAATATGTATGGTGAGTATTACTATCCCCCATCTTATACACGAAGCTCAAGCAAGCAAAAGACTTGCCCAAGAACACAAGATTAAAGTGACTGAGCCTGAATACAACCCAGGTTACCTGATCCATCAGGAATCTACAGACCAGAATACCTCAGTCTGTGTCCTTTGATGTTCACAAATGCCACATATCCCTCACACCCACACTGTAGCGGGGAGAGGTTGAGGGGTCAGGTTGTACACAGAAGAGAGTCACTCACTCCCATAAAGGAGCAGTGTTGTGGTTCTTCCTGTCCAGCAAAGACCCAATAACTAATGACTGTTGAACTCTGTGTGTTGCCTTTAGAGTTTGCAAAGTTCTGGGTTATCTCCGCTGCTCTTCACAGTCTCCTTGCTAGTAATTACTGTGGGCAGTTTTTGTTTTGTTTTTGGTACCAGGGATCGAACTCGGGCCCTAGCACTTGCAAGGCAGGTAGCAGAACCAT